TCCGACGTTAGCTAGCTTCGACCGCCGCCACACAGTCTTAACGATTTCATCCATTGTATCAACGTTCAGCCAGTGTGCTTCGAATTGGCGTCCCCCCCTTCGGCTGTTGCGTCATGGCTGGTTAAAAATAATTTTTATCTAGCAAAGGGGGCTTGTGATCTGAGTGAATGTGATGTTCATGTACTATCGACACAAATGGGAATTTATCTGACCATGCTTCGTTGCATACTGCCCTGGTCCAACCGTTCTTTGATCATACCTCGGCTCGAGGTGAAGGGATCTCCCACTACATTATTTCTTGTAGGCCACATTCTTCTAGATAATCTTTGAAATTTTGCATATAGTATGGTGGCCTCACGTTACATCCTTCCTTCTCACTTGCAACAAGAATTTCATTGAAATCACTTATGATCATCCAAGCCCGTGTAGAATTGGTATGAAGATTCCATAAGTAAGTCCAAGACTAATGCTTAAGGTCCAAGTTTGGTTCTCCATGCTACATTATCCCATCCATCACAAACCCATCAATAAAGTTGGGGAAAGAGTAACCCAACACCACTTCATTAGACTGATTGTAATAAAGAACAAGACCACCAGAGAGACCACCGCTTTCAATAACATGAAGGAAATAAACCCTAACTTAATCCTCAACTCAATTGCCTTAACTTTATCCAAATTAGACCCAGACAAAAAAAATCACATCTGCTCTCACCCTTCCCTTGAAGATCCAACACATCACGTACTGTCATTGTTGAGAGCATGCCACGAAAGTTCCACGAAAGAACTTTCATTGTGGTCGGGGATCGGAACAACGAAGAAAAAAAAACTCTCGACGACAGGAGCCGCCAGAGGACAGCAAACCCTAGCTTATTCTTGCTAGGGGACAACGAGTCTGAAGAGAAATCACCTCGTCAGAACATCAATCAGGCTTCACGAGCGCAGCAACATACGTGCGAAGTTAGCGATCACACAAGTAACTGGATTGATTCTCTAGTAAGAGCACTGGTGCACGCACTAGCACACGTACGTACACGTGAACCTGATCCGGGCCATCGTCAACTGATCGATCGGCTCGGAATAACCGTCACTCCCAAAGAAAGCGGCCACCGCTACCGACGGCGAGGCGGTCCAACCCTAGATCGCCACCGCCCAGTGCGCCTTAGAACAACCTCAAGCCTTCGTACGATGCCAATGGTTGAGCTCTAGTAAAAGTGGACTCTCCTCTGCGCACCACGATTTAGCCGTGTCTTAATGGAATACGAGTGTTTCATGTCAAAAATAAAAATAGTTGCATCGTTTGCCAAGAGCGCTAGAATAAAACCTGGTGGTTTCTCCCGCCACATAGTCGACGTAATCTTTTTTTCTTTCTGAAATGTGTAATCTTTCTTTTATTGAAAGGTATGGTCATTTTTTAGATTGCTCCAGAATTAATATTTTTAAGAGAAACATCGCCCTATAATGTTTTTTTGTTGTTGAGAAAACGCCCTAGAATGTCTAGTTTGGTTGGATTGAGTATGATGGCCGAGAGTCCGGTCCAGGTAGCCATCCGGCTGGGCCGGAGGACGTCAACAGCCCAGCTAGTAAGAAAGCATGAGCCGACCTGAATATCCTAGCCGTCCATCCGTTGATCGGACCGCTTCAAGTCCCCCACGCCATTTTGCCAAATCGTCGCTCGGCAACCTCCAGCAACCCCTATAT